GCATCCCAGTCTCAAACTGGTTCATTTTCTATTTCAGACAAAGGAAAGTGGACCCACTCTGGTCCTGGTGGAAGCTTCTCAGCTGGCTGGGGCTAAAGTGTGAGCTGGTTTAAGTTGACGGAGGTGACAAGATGACCCTAGTCAAGGTGCCCTGGCTACTGCTCATTCTAGTCATGCTGTGGCTTCCCTAAATGTTTAATTATTGATGCTGAGAGAGAATATAAAGTAAAATATTTTATAAAACAATGGTAACCACTAATGGGTAAAAATTGAGTATATAACTTCCAAAAATAAAGGAAAAGCAAAGAAAACCTTTGAAATAAATAGATACTAGTTTTAAAAGGAGCTATTTTTTTTTTTAAGTTATTTATTTGGCTGTGCCAAGTCTTAGTTGTGGCATGTGGAATCTAGTTCTCTGACCAGAGACTGAACCTGGGCTCTCTGCATTGGCAGTGCAGAGTCCTAGCCACTGGGCCACTAGAGAAGTCCCAAGGGAGCTATTTGAAGGGAGGCGGGGACAGATGACATGCATGATGGGATAATATTTGGAGACGTTAATCAATAAGCTTCCTTTCCTGTCAATCCCCCGCCCAAGGCTCTTCTGCTCCTGCCCACACAGACAGATGTGTTGCTCATGACCGGGCCAGGCGTGAGGACTGCCTAATTGACAAGCTGGCCTGATCACAAGACAAGAGATATGTGAATGTGCATTGTCCTCTGTGGACCAGGGAAGGGAAAGGGGACGAGGGAGCCAAGTACTATAAAGAAAGGAACACAGGAGAACACCCAAACCTCTGGCAAAACATGGGCCATCTGTCCAGAGTGCCATGACAGCATCTCTCTTGTCATGGACCTTGAAGATCATCAAAAGCCCAAAGATCCTTCAAATTAGGGTGATGCTTGTTTGTGCCTCAAGACTCTCCCATTGGTTTCATTCCATGAAGACAACTCTGTCAAATAGCCACAGACATCTGTATTCTCTTCTCTAAGCAGACTGAGGAGTTATGGGCCTTTGGGCCCTGAAGGGTTGATGGTGATGTAAAAGGCAAACCTTGAATTGGCCAACAAGACTCCAGTTAGTGGGACTTTGAAATCTCCCTCTGAGCTAGGAACTTCAGTAGAACACATGCTTCTGCTACCCATGAACTTAAAAACTGTACCCTAGAAACTGAAAATACCCATTATTTCTAACCTCTGTGGTACATTTATAAAATGTAACATAATAGACTATGTTGAAAGAAAAGAACTTAAAGACATGTTTGACAATAGTACTACAAGTCTCAAATTTCATATACCATGAATAAGAAAAATCAAACCACCTAGAAAAGGTTTTTAAAAATTGTCCTGAATGAAATTTGGATCAAAGAGTAATTTCCTCTTTGTAACTGCAATTACAAATTTATTTAGAACACAAACAGAAGAGCTATATTATATAATGAGAACAAAGTGTGAAACCAAAGCCATACCGAGGAGGAAAATTCATAGCTTTACATACGATGACTATAAAACCAGAAAGTATAACAAATAAATAGAACACATTCAACTGAAGGAATCCCCAGATAAACATTAGTGGCATTCGTGTTTTGTTTGTAGGCAATTGTTTTTGGCTGCCTAGCTTCTGAAGCTTCTTCTCCTATCAGGGGAATCCACCATGATGTTGGTCTTGGACATGTAGAGCTGGGGCAGAACATCTAGACTTAGTTGATCAGATGCTGCTCCCTGGAACTAGAACTCTGAACCTGGAATGAGTGTCTGAAAGAAACAGAAGCAGCTTAGTGGTCATTCTGGTAGCCACAGCCGGAACATGTGGTGCAACCAGCACATCCCAACAAGCTGGGGATCTGACCACTCAGATTCCTAGTTTCTGCTCATCCCCCCACCTGGTTCCCTACAACCCCTGAACACCTGGGCTGCGTGCTGTCCTTCTCCAGTGTATTTTTCTTCCCGTCTAGAGTCATTTTCTACTGTGAATAACTTCAATCCCCTGAACAAAACAGAAGGAAGGAATGTATAATAAAGACATAAATTAATGAGAGGAAAAAAAACTATAGCAATGATGAAAAAACTCAAGAACTGTTTTAAACAACCAATAAAACTGGCAAACTTCTGAGACTTATCACAGAAAAAAATTAAGAAAAATCACAAATGCTTGTATGAAGGAAAAACGTATATGAATGATTCTGAAGTTAAGAAATGATGAGACTATAATGACAGTTCTACACTTGATAAAATTAAGAGATCAATTACCGAAATTAACTGGAGTGTGCTATCAACCAAGGGGAAAAGGCTAAAAAGTTTTATCAATAAAAAATTCAAACCCCTCCCCCCCTTCCCAAAGGGCGCAGAGTCAGACTGACTTAAGGAGAAATTCCTTCAAACCTGTTCTATTTACATGACTCCTGGATACGGAGAAAGAAGGCAGGTGAGCCTCTTCCAGGTGGCCCTGGCCCCTAGTTGCCCTTGTCTTAGTAGCAGTTCCCCTGCTGTTGAGTGGAGGTCAGCCTGTCGTATGAACAGGTTGTCTTGCTATACTCTTTGGACCTAGCTGTTACAACTCTCACACCTATTTATCTATCTGTGGCTGGTGTCAGCTGTATGTAGCTCATTTGAGCACTAGCACAAGTCATGCTAATTAACCCTCTGGATGGCTGCCTTGATCTCCTTCACTAGGTTCCTTCATTACCTCCCCTATCTGAGGAAGAATGCTCCCATTCCCACCCTTCAAAGGGAAAGTGAGGGAACTTAGGCACAGGGAGATTTAGATACTAGTCCATGATTCTCTCTAGGATGACCTGAGGAATAAGAGAGTTGGGAGCTAATGTCAAAGGAGAGGCTGTGTGACTTTTATCCTGGAAAAATGCAGATATCAGGAGTGGATGCCAGGGAACAGGTGTACACTGGGGCTCTGAGAGTCTCTTGGATTGCAAGGAGATCAAATCAGTCCATCCTAAAGGAAATCAGTCCTGAATATTCATTGGAAGGACTCATGCTGAAGCTGAAATGCCAATACCACCTGGCCACCTGATGCGAAGAACTGACTCCTTGGAAAAGACCCTGATGCTGGGAAAGATTGAAGGCAGGAGGAGAAGGGGATGACAGAGGATTAGATGGTTGGATGGCATCACTGACTTGATGGACATGAGTTTGAGCAAGCTCTGGGAGTTGGTGAAGGACAGGGAAGCCTGGTGTGCTGGGGTCACAAAGAGTTGGACACGACTGAACAACTGAACTGAACTTGGGTCATCCCAGATGGGATCTGTTGAAGGTGCAGAAAGAGGAGCTTCTTTCTTTTAGGTGGAGACTGGAGGAGGAATATGCTTGTTTCTTTCAGTGTTAGGTGCTGCTAAAAGTGGTTTTTACGTCTTGGGGGCCCTAGGGATCTTTGGGGGTTTCCCTGGTGGCTCAGATGGTAAAGAATCTGCTTGCAATGGGGGAGACCTGGTTTCTATCCCTGGGTTGAGAAGATCCCCTGGAGGAGGGCATGACAACCACTCCAGTATTCTTGCCTGAAGAGTTCTCATGGACAGAGGAGCCTGGTGGGCTACAGTCCATGGGGTCACCATGAGTCACACATGACTGAGTGACTAATTCAGGGGCCTTTGGAGGCCAGCTTCCAGCTCAGATGGCTGGCCTGTTGGGCACAGGTCTGACTCGAAGGTCAGTGGGATGCTTCAGATCCCTGGCTAGGCCTCCATGTACATGGGTGCCCTGTAGCTGACACAGTTGGTAAGAATTACTGAGGGAGCTGGTCTCCTCCTGGGGTGAGTTCCCCTGGATACAGAGAGCTTCCTTTAAGGCTCCTTGGAGACAGCTGCTCTTAATATAGTTGACAGTGGGCTAAGCGCTGTATAAGAGGCAAGCACCGTATTTAATAAATTACCTGGTAACCCTTGGGCTCCTCGAAGGCTGGATTGCACCCAGAGCATCCAGTGGGTTGAGAAGAAACAGATGTGCTGCCCACAGACCAATTCCTCCTATTACAGATTCTATGTCCTGTTACCTTTCTTTCCCCTTAAGCGTATTACTGTTCCTGGGGTTTAAAGGGAAGAATGCTGCAGTGCTTTGCCATTTGCTTCTCCAGTGGACCATTTGGATGGCAAGGAGATCAAACCAGTCAATCCTAAAGGAAATCAATCCTGAATATTCATTGGAAGGATTGATGCTGAAGCTGACGCTCCAGTACTTTGGCCGCCTGATAGGAAGAGTCGACTCATTAGGAAAGGCCCTGATACTGGGAAAGATTGAAGGCAAGAGGAGAAGGGGACGACAGAGGACGAGTTGGTTGGATGGCATCACCGACTCAATGGACATGAATTTGAACAGGCTCCAGGAGATGGTAAAGGACAGGGAAGCCTGGTGTGCTGCAGCCGGACACAACTGAGCGACTGAACAACAAGGCGTATTACGGGGCTCCTGCATTGCAGAGATTCTTTACCATCTGAGCCACTAGGGAAGCCTGTATTGGGGGGGGGGGGGGGCGTCCGTTTTTAAAAACAGAAACCTACCAAAAATGCCCCTGAGAGCTGCGATATTGCCCAAAGCATAGAGAGTTGATTCCTCTGTCCCATCCAGGGCAGTCCTATGGCCAGATGCATCCGGTCCCACGCCCTGCAAACAGTCCTGTATGGCTCTGCTCTCCGGACCCGGGGACATCCCCATGCCGCCCAGCTTCGCAGGCCCATTTTCGCAGCAGCTCGTCCTCCCGGGTCTCCACGCAACAATGAAGCGTGGGCGGCCCCAGCGGCCTCATTTGCATATCTCCGCGGCTTGGCCAATGGGCTGCGCAGGGGCTTTGGAACGCAGTGTTGCCATCGGCGTGCGCGCGTGTGTGCGCGTGTGACAGCGGCTGTGGCCGTGGCCGTGGCCGTGGCCGTGGGAGGCCGGCCCGGCGGAGCCCAGCCGCGCGGGGACCGGCCCCGGCGCCCGCTCCCCCTGCGCATCGCGGCCGAGTGGCCCGGCCGAGTCCAGGGACCAGCAGCCCCGGCCGCCGCGCCGTCGCGATGTCGGTGGCGGGGCTGAAAAAGCAGTTCCACAAAGCCAGCCAGGTAGGGACACAACGGAGGAGGGAGGGAGGAGGGCTAGGGGAGCCGCGGTCCCCTCGAGGCTCCGGGGCCTCTGAGACTCCGGCGCCCTTAGGGGCCTCTTTTAGGGCTCGATTTCTTCCCGCCTAAGTGGGCGCGGGGGTGGAGTGAGGGGCCGCCGGCTCTCCTCCGCTTCTTGGCGCCTCCTTCTTGCCAGTCCCCGGCCCCCCCTGCTCCATCCTCAGCCACTGAAATTCTGAGAGGTTCTGCGGAGGGGAGACCAGAGGTGGCGGGCCGCAGGGGCTCGGGCGAGCAGAGACGGCGTCTCGAGGCCTGGAGGCTCTGCTCCGTGCCTCTATTCCCGGACCCGCGCCGGGAGGAGGACCACAGAGGGTGCAGGGCCGGCATGGCCTCCCTCGAGTCCCCCACCTTTTGGTTGGGAGACCCCCCCGGGGCACGTCCTGCCACTCCTGGGCAGCCGCGCGGGCGTCGGCGGATCCGGGGATGCTCTGTACTTGGCGCTCCCGGCCTGGAGGTGGACCCCGCCTGCCTGACTGCCCGCAGCTCCGGGCTGGGCTGTCTACAGCCGTTCTTCCTCCCGCATAGTCTTCCCGGTGTCGGCCCGGGCCTGGGCACCAGGCTCCTGTTCTCTAGGAGCTGCCAGTTTTGTGGGAAGACACTGAGACAGACACGTAAACATATAGTGTTGGACACACCTCCACGCACAGTGGATGGCAGATAATAAGATAGGGGCATCAGGGAGAACTTCCCGGAGGAAGAGTCGCGTCATTTGAAAATTAAATATGAGAAGGAATTGTGGTGGAGGGTGTGGGTGGAAAGGATAGGTGTTCTGAGCAGAGGAAACAAGAAGACAGGCAAGCGGGCATGTGATTGGTGTGTGTGTGGGTGTGGGTGTCTGTTGACAAGCAAATTCGTATTCTAAGATTTCAGTCTCCCAGCCATGGCAGAACTCACATTGTAAAATCAACCCTACACCAGCACTGCTGGGTCTCTTGGACAGATTTCATTCAGAATTCACTCTTCTGATGAGGTCTTATCTTGCCTCTTTCACACATTGGTCCCTGAAAAGCAGCTGGAATTAGAGGATTCCTTTCTCTCTGTTTCTTGTTGAAAAGTGCTGCCTGTTCTCTCACTCACATCCCTTCCATGAAGAAACTGGGTGGTGTGCAGTTTCCAGCTGGGGATGCTGGGTGGTTGGTGGTACTATTGGGGTAATGAGGAGTCCTGGATGAGGGGCCAGTTAGGTGACCAGGGAGATGGTGGGGTCACTGCAGGCGGGCTTTGGGCACTTTGAAAAATCCGTGAGATACTCAGATGACTCTGGCCTGGGAGCCAGTGGGTGAGATCCAGATTAGAGCTATAGACTTGGGGGAATTTCCAGCCTCAATGGAGATTTAAAAATATAAGTGCAAATGGAAGTCAAAAAATGCACAGTGAGTTATACTCATAGACTGTAGGAGCACCTACATTTAGGGACAGTGTTTAGGCCGGGACTTGATAAGCAGTGACCACTCAATAAATATTTATTGGATAAGTGAAAGCGTGGGGGTGGAGAAGCACAAGAAGGGAAGAACTAGTAGAATGGAGGAGAGAGGAGTATCATGGAAACCTAAGAAGTGGGTGCATTTAAAGGTGGGAGCAGGGACTTCCCTGGTGGTATAAGGGTTATGACTCTGCACTTCCAGAATAGGGGGTGTGGTTTGATGTCTGGTAGGGGAACTAAGATCCCACATGCGATGCAGCCAGAAAGTAAAAATAAAATAAAAGGTGGGAGCAGTTAGCAAATCTGCCGTGAGCTCAGTACTGAGGGGTGGGCAGCCCGGAGGCCTACTGCTTCTGTGGTCTGGGCAGTGTCAGCTTAATCACAAGCTAGCTGGGCTTGCTACAGGAGCTTTCTTAGCTTAGTCGCTCAGTCGTGTCTGCCTCTTTGCCACCCCATGGATTGCAGCTTGCTAGGCTTCCCTGTCCTTCACCACTTCCCAGAGTTTGCTCAAATTCACATCCATTGAGTTGGTGATGCCATCCAACCATCTCATCCTCTGCAGGGTCCTAACCTCTTTTGAAAGATATTCTTTTATTGAGAATAGACTTCATGGGAGCAAATCTCAGAGATGAACAGGACACAGCCCTAAGAGGATTGAAATTGGTTTCTGACCACTAACCAGAGTGAATGGTTGAAATCCCAGGAAGTTATTGACATTGGTAAATAATATGCTGAAGATGAGATCGTTTAGTTTAACTACTCATCATCAGTCCATTAAAAAAGGAAATGAGCAGAGGGTCTAATTTAGTCTTTTTGCATGAACTGAAACCTTTTTGTGACTTTATCTGGAAAGCTCTCTGGGCTTTGCAAATCACATTTTGTGGTCAAAGTGCCTAATAGATAGGTTTTTATCTGTTTTGAAAGTCTTTCTAAGGAATCTTGCAATGGGACAGATTTGGTGGAGAAATTAGACCAGGCTTAATAAAATAAGAGGGAGCATGATCATAAAAAGTGCCAGATGTTCTTCCTAGGCAACATTTTAACAGCAGGTTTTAATTCACATAGAACTTTCCCAGGGCTGGGGAAAGGGAGGCTGGGATGATGTCAATGGCTTAATAATTCCCAGGGATCCAGGCCTGGCTGTGCCACTGACCAGATCTGTGACCTGGGAAACATGATTTAACCCATCTGTATGGTGAATGAGAGGATTTAGAAGCTGTATGCGTGCATGCTCAGTCATGTCTTACTCTTTGCAACCCCTTGGACTGTAGCCCCCTAGGCTCCTCTGTCCATGGGATTTCCCAGGCAAGAATACTGGAGTGGGTTGTCATTTCCTCCTCCAGGGGCTCTTCCTGACCCAGGGATGGAACCCAGGTCTCCTGCATTGGCAGGCTGATTCTTTACTGCTGAGCCACCAGGGAAGCCCTTAGAAGCTATGTTCCTGTTCTAAAATTTCTTGTGATGATCATACAACTCTGTAAATATACTAGAAAAACCACTGAATTACATACTTTAAGTTGTGAATTGTATGGTATATAAATTATATCTCAAGAAAGTATATAACTAACTATCTCTCTCTTTATATCTAATATATCTCAGTTCTGAAATTGTTAAGTAATTTGCTTAAAGTATTTCAGAGAAAGATAAAGATTATAAAGTGGACCTTTTACAAATAAGGGAACCAAGACCTTGACAAATTGAGATGATTTTTCTCAATGATAGAAAAGGTGAAATAACTTATAACTTCCTGGTTAAGTGCTCTGGCTTTCTTGATACCTATCTCTGCAGGAAAAAAAAAAGTCCCCTTACTTTACAGAGAATGAAGAACTCTAAATCCCAGGGATTATGCATCATTTTGGCAGCACATGGAGACTAAAAGGAAAGAGGAAGAAATCAACTAAAATGAGAAGAGTACAAGTTGAGTTAATAACAAAATTTAATTAATCCTTTCCTTCAACATTTGGGATTATAACCCAAGTGTCCCAAGATCATAATTAAATACTTTTTTCTCTTGAAAAGGTTTTCTTTCTTTTTTTTTTTAGTAGAGAGGTTTACTCTTCTACTGGTAGGGATGCAGTTTGAGTTACTAGAGATAAATACAAATAACTTGGACTTCCCCAGTGGCTCAGATGGTAAAGAATCTGCCTGCAATGCAGGAGACCTGGGTTTGACTCCTGGGTGGGGAATATTCCCTGGAGAAGGGAATGGCAACCCACTCTAGTATTCTTGCCTGGAGAATTACATGGACAGAGGAGCCTTGTGGGCTACAGTCCATGGGGTTGCAAAGAGTTGGACTGAGTGACTAACACACATACACAAATAGCTTAGAGAGGTCATTGTGGTTTCTTGTTAAGTGGTGTGCCTGACCAATAAAAATGTAACTCATAATAATTATATGTCACTGCTCATTGATTTGTATTAATTATGTTCACTTCATAGTATTTTTCTTGACAGCATTTTATTTTTGTTGCAGGATGCTTAGGCCACATCTGTGCTTACTGTGATAGGGACACTGTTCTAATAGCTGTATTTGTTCCCTTTCTGCACTTCTGAGAGCCTGGTTCCCCATCCCATGAAAGCCTGATTTTATTCTTTCCTCTGTTCTTCTTGCCCCAAACTGATCAACTAGTGAGGACACAAGAGGGGTGTTGACCCTTCTTGTTAAATTTCCTTGTTTTTACCCTTAAGTAGCAGTGTTCTATCATGTGACCCAGAAACACAATAGGGTGTGGGGAGTTCCTAACAAAGCTTTTTTTTTGGTAACTTCCCCCTCTTTCCCTTTTGATGCCTGAATCAGAAACATGATGAGTGGTCCTAAGGGGCCAAGACATTCTCTCTGTAATGACTAAATGCACAGGCTGGTCATTTATGGGTAAACACTATAGAGAAGGATATTCTTTGTAAATTATGAGAATCTCTAGGGAGGTGGTGAATGTCTCTTGTTTCACTTTCTCATTAGAGAGAAAGATAAAAATGCACTTTGCAAAGTCCATAATGATTCTTTGTTTTTTATGCTGGTGCATCAGAAAATGTGTTAAGCTGAAACTTGCTTGCTCCTTTCCACATAGACTGTTTGATAAATTAATCCTTGGGTCTATGTGTTAACCATATATTTTTAACTTGGGATGCTAGAGTAGGTGCTGAAACTAAATTGGTTTTAATTTTTTAATCTCTGAAGAACACAGTATAATTCAAGCATTTCTTACCACTGATGCCTTTTCTCTAAAGTAAATATAATTTAGGCTATCTCTTAGGATTTGATTAAAAATGCATTTAAAAGCAGGGATTTTTTTTTGTGTGTATGTATATACTATTTGTTTAGATTAAACTTTCAACTTTATTAAAAAACTGACTATAAATTATATTTCCCAAAATTAACTGGGGTGTGTGTGTGTATCTTATGTATTTGGAGGTTGCTATTGTTGGCATACTTTACCCAGAAAATGAAACTGAGAATAAGCAGAACTGATACATGATTTTATTTGACAAAATAATAGGTGAATGTATTCTGGAGATTCTA